GGAAATGAATTCTGTACATGAGTGAGTCCCTGGATTCAATCCCTATTACCTCTCCCCCAAAAAAAGTTTGTATAAAATTAGGAAATACTAATAAAAGTAAAAAATGCCAAACTATGGTTAACTTTTGTTAAGATTGTGTTTTATATTTACTGTAGGAAAATTAGAAAATACAAGAAAACCAAGAATTATTGCATGATAATAATCTTCAGTAGTATATCATTGTACAGTATGTACTTGCAGAAGTTTTCTGTGTATACCTTTTTTCCTCCTAAAGTATATATTGTTTATTGAGCTTTTACTATATACACTAAGCACTGTACTAACAATCTTTTTAAAAGTGTGACCTCATAGCTAAGGAGGCTGAGGCAGGAGAATCACAAGTTCAAAGCCAGCCTCAGCAAGACTCTGTCTCAAAACAAAAAATAAAAATAAAAAGGGCTGGGGATATGGTTTACTGGTTAAGTGTGCATAGGTTCAATCCCTAGTATCCCTCCAAAAAGTAATAAATAAAAGTTTGATCTCACTAGGAATGTAGCTAAGAGGTAGATAGCACTTGCCTAATGATGTGTGAGGCCTTGGGTTCAATCTCTAGCACCACAACGAAAAAAAAAAAAGAAAAAAGTGGCACCTCATTTAATTCCCAAAACTACCTGTGTGACAGGTTCTATTGTTATTCCTGTTTTATAGAAGAGAAAACTGGAGTAACACTATTGTTTTGTAATATTTTTATGATTGTGTCAAAATGTTTACTGCTGAGACAGTTCTACATCTTTAAGAGCTTAACTGGTACTCCATTGTATAGTTATATTTTCATTGTTCCTTTTTGTTGAACTTTTATATTATTTTCAGTTATATGCTGTTATAAATAATTTATTGCAATTAGTAGCCTTGTGCATTTTTTCCCCCCCTCAAAACTAATTCCTGGGGCTGGGGTTGTGGCTCAGTGGTAGAGCACTTGCCTACCACGTGCAAGGTGCTGGGTTCCATCCTCAGCACCACATAAAAATAAAGGTATCGTGTCCAATTACAACTAAAAAAAAAAAAAGTTTAAAAAAATAAATAAATAAAAGTTAGGCTGGGTGCCATGGCATACACCTATAATCCCAGCAGCTTGGGAGGCTGAGGCTGGAGGATTGGGAGTTCAAAGACAGCCTCAGCAACTTAGCAAAGCACTTAGCAACTCAGTGAGATCCTGTCTCTAAATCAAAAAAAAAAAAAAAAAAAGGATGGGGCTGGGGTTGTGGCTCAGTGGTAGCGTGCTTGCCTAGCTCTGAGAGGCACTGGATTTTATCATCAGCACCACATATAAATAAATAAACAAAATAAAGATATTGTGTCCATCTACAACTAAAAAGGGGGGTGGCTGGGAATGTGGTTCAGTGGTTAAGTGAGTTTTTTGGATTGGGTTCAATCCAAAAAAAAAAAAGAACAATAAAAAAACCAAAAATTACCTAAATAAATTTAAAAAATAAGAAGTTACACTAATAGTGAACCTGTTTTAAAAAAAATACAATTGGGCTGGGATCACCGCTCAGTGGTAGAGTGCTTGCCTAGCATGTGTGAGGCACTGGGTTCGATTTTCAGCACTGCATATAAATAAATGAATAAAATTAAGGTTCATCAACATCTAAAAAATATTTTATAAAAGCACAATAATAATTATTATTATTTTGTACTGGGGGGTTGAACTCAGGGGCATTTAACCACTGAACCACATTTCCAGCCCATTTTTTGTTTTGTTTTGTTTTTTGTTTTCTGTTTTCAGGGGGGCGAGTACTGTGGGGATTGAACTCAGGAGCACTCAACCACTGAGCTGCATCCCCAGCCCTATTTTGTATTGTATTTAGAGTCAAGGTCTCACCGAACTGCTTAGCACCTTGACATTCCTGAGGCTGGCTTTGAACTCATCCTCCTGCCTCAGCCTCCTGAGCTGCTGGGATTCAGGTGTGCACCATTGAACCTGGTCTGTTTTGTTTTGTTTTGGTTGAGACAAAGTCTTGATAAGTTGCTTAGGGATCTTGCTGGGTTGCTAAGGCTGGCCTCAAACTTTCTTTTTTATTTAGTTTTTTGTTCTTATTTTTATGTGCTGCTAAGAATCAAACCCAGTGCCTCACACGTTAGGCAAGCATTCTATCACTGAGCTACAGCATCAGCCCTGGCCTCCTATTTCAATCCTCCTATTTCAGCTTCCTGGCCTCCCGAGACGCTGGGATTACAGCTATGTGACACAGTGCCTGACTGTAAAATTAATTTCAAGAAGTAGAATTCTTGTGCCAGACTTTCTTAAGGCTTTTGATACATATTGTGAAATTACTTTTTAGAAAGATTATGCCAATTTATCTTGCCCCACATGGTGTGAGTGCCTGTTTCTCTGAATATTTATGACCACCATATGGTACTTCTTCATTATACACATTTTTTTTGAGCTCAGTGTATCAGGCGTGTACTGCAGTGAGCAGTGGTCCCTGCCTTCATGAAGCTTGTAGTCTTTTTAGTAATGATGTAATCTTTACCAGTTTAATAGGCAACTAATGATACTCTGTTTTAGCATGCATTCTTTTTTAATACTATATATATTTTGTTTGTATTGGTGGTTATTTGATTTCTTTTGTGAAGTATTGGCTATGTTCTTTGCTTATTTTCCTGTTGATTTTTAAGTCATCATTATATGGTAAAGCTCCATAGGTAGGATATTACCTTTGTGTTTATCATATATTACATTTGTCCCAAATATCTTTTCCTCCCAGTTTGTCATCTGCCTATATTCCTAAATAAATAATTTGTAATAAGTAATTCTGTCAGTCTTTTCCTATATTTTATTTGTCATGTTTAGAAGGTCCTTCCACTTACCTATTTTCTCCGTACAGTACATATATGGTTTTGTTTTTTACACTTTAATTTTATAATTCAACTAGGAATTTAACTTTATAAAAAGTTGTCATCCACTGTATATTTAGTAATCTATCTTTTCTGTACTGAAGAAATATACTTTTATTCTTCAAGTACTGGGTATTGAACCCAGAGCCTCATTACAGCAAGCTCTCTATCACTGAGCCATATCCCAGCCTTGTTTTTTTTTTTTTTTAATAGCTTTATTTTATTCATTTTATTTTAGGTGGTGCTGATGTTTGAATCCAGGGCCTCACATGTGCTAGGCAAGCATTCTACCACTGAGCCCCAACTCAGCCCCTCCAGCCTTTATTATTACCATTTTATTTTAGTTGTACTGGGGTTTAAACCCAGGGGCACTTTCTTTGTTACTTAGCTACATCCTCACTCCTTTTTATTTTGAGACAGGGTCTTGCCTTGAACTGGTCATCCTCCTGTCTTGCTCTCTCTGTCTTAGCTGGGATTATGGGCATGCACCATTTTCTTATTTCTTTCTTTCTTTTTTTTTTTTTTTTTGTGGTTGTGGAGATTGAACCCAGGGCCTTGTGCATGCAAGGTAGACACTCTACCAACTGAGCTATATTCCCAGCCTATTCTTATTTCTTACATTGACCTGGATCTGCTTATGAACTTCATATTTTATTGCATTTATTAGCTCTGTCCCTGTACTCCTGTTGTTACTCTTGGCTTTTGGTGGCACACGTCCTATTTTTTTTGGCCGGGGGTCGAGGTGAGTACCGGGTATTGAACTCAGGGACACTCGACCACTGAGCCACATCCCCAGCTCTATCTATATTGTTTATATGTGTGTGTGTGTGTGTGTATTTAGTTGTTGATAGACCTTTTATTTTATTACATGTGGTGCTGAGAAATGAATGCAGTGCCTCACACATGCCAGGCAAGTGCCCTATTTTGTATTTTATTTAGAGACAGGGTCTCACTGAGTTGCTTAGCACCTCACTTTTGCTGAGGCTGGCTTTGAACTCAGGATCTTTCTACCTCAGCCTCCCAAGCCACTGATATTACAGGCATATGCCACTGCACCCAGTCACAAGACCTATTTTCTTAAAAATTCCATTTGTTTAGTTTAAAAAGCTCTAAGCTTACAAATTATGTTAAGATTTAACACATGTATAATATTGGGTCTTCCTATTCAGGAATATCATTATTGATGTGTTATACTTACAAGTAGAATATTCATTTGGAGATGTCCTATAGTCTTTGGTGCATATATATGGATATGAAGCTCAGATCATAGGCATGGGTGACAAGAAAAAAAAGATGTGAGATTTTTGGGCTTACATGTGGTATGCAAACCATTAGATGAGCTTGCTTAGAAACATTTAGATGGAGGCTAAGCATAGCTCTCTGGGAATTGACATTTAAGAGGAAAATAAATTACCTGAAAAAATACATGATGTTGAAAGTTTCAATTGGGAGAGTAGACAAGGCAAGGACCTTTAAATCTTGGTTATGTTTACTAATCATGTGACATTACTTTCCTAAACCTTTATTTTCTCTTCTTTGGAATGGGAATATTATTATCCATTCTATAATATTGTTTAGAGTATAAACTGAAGAAAGATGGAGACAACAGGATATGTTAGTAGAGATAAGATGAGCTTTGTGGTCGCCATTGGGGTTTAGATTTTTGCTTTACCATTTACAAAGTTGTACTGTCTTAAGAAACTATTCAGCTTCTGGTCCACACTTTCCAAGTGGGGGATAATGATAATAATACCTTTCTCATAGGAATATTTCTAGGTTTTAATGAGATAATATAGATAATATGCTTAGCACAATTTCTGGGACTCAAATGTTGCCTTGGTGATGGTGATATGTATAGAGTGGTCAATGCACAAAACCTAGCGTATGGATAATATTAGTGCAGGCCTTCTGTATGAAACTTATGAATAGGAAGAGATCTATACTCTTCACAAAAGTTTAGAATAGGAGAAAAAAGACTGGCACATTGATATGGCCACTTGGGACATATGTGTGATTGGGTCACGCAGGCCTCTTATGGAATCCAGTTTCACTTAGGTCATTTATCTTGAGCTTGTGATGAAGGGAACTATTTAGGTAAACATTTTATTTCCCTCTTCCTCCAGGCAAACATAGACCCTCCCAAGCTGAGTAGAGATGAGCAGCGGGGAAGAGGTGCCCTCTTACAGGACATTTGCAAAGGGACCAAACTGAAGAAGGTGACCAACATTAATGATCGGAGTGCTCCTGTCCTCGAGAGTGAGTCTAAGCTTCATTTCCTCGTGAGACACGAGGATTCCAGAATTGACTTGGAGATTTATCTGGGCTGTCATTTTTATTATTGAGTCTTGAGTGAGAAACTTTTGTCCTGGGACTTCCATTGGCTCTTCCTGTTTGCTCATTTGAATACTTTAGAAGTTTCTTCCTGACCCTTAACAAGTATTCTCCAAGTTAAGACTCCCACCTTCTAATGCTTGTTGGGACACATCTTTGGCTGTTCTTTGAGGAGACTACTACATTCCTAGAAACCTCTTGACTGAAACAAAACATGATTTTATAATTGCTACAAGTTTCCATTCCTGTAGTCCTCAGGAGAGTTTCCTTGAACTGTTAGCTCCCTTACATCTGGGATTTGGAAAGGAGAGCCCAGAGAACTCTGTTGAACGTTTCTTTATCCCACTTGTTATCACTTCACCCTAAGTAAGAGAAGAATGGCTCCTTGTTCCTTTTGTTTTTTTCTCTTTCATCACAGTGAAGAGTTCCATCCCCATTTGAAGCTGTGGAGTAGAAAGGTCTAGTTTTTTTAAATGAAAAGGCAAAAAAAAAAAAAAAAAAAGCAAGATTGGTTTGTTTGCAAATTAAAGCCCAGATAGAGGCGGGGTTGTCCCGGGGTTGACTGGTCATCAGCACAGAACATATGACATGAAAACTTAATGGTATGCTTTCCAGAGCCCAGAGGAAGCAGTGGTGGTTACGGCTCTGGAGCTGCTGCCCTGCAACCCAAGGGAGGTCTCTTCCAAGGAGGAGTGCCGAAGCTCCGCCCTGTGGGAGCCAAGGACGGTTCAGGTATCTGATAAATACTTTCTTAGGAGATTTCTAAAGTGCATTTGTTAATTTCTGACTTGTCCCAAGTAGGTCATCTGGAGTTGAGGACTGTGGTTGAGGTGGGAACAGAGGAGTAGTTACAGAATAAACAAAATTTGAGAGGTTAAATAAAAATGTATTCAACTTAGGTAAAGAAAATGTGATAGATATACAAAAGAATATTATTCGGCATTTAAATAGAAGAAAATTCTGTCATGCCTGTAATTCCTATACCACTGAGCCACAATAAATAAGCTAGGAGGACACTATTTTAAGTGAAATAAGCCAGATAGACACAGAAAGGCGAACACTGTATGATCTCACTTATATTTAGAATCTAAAATAATTGAATGTGGAAGTTGAGAATACAATGTTGGTTACTAGTAGCTCGGGTAAGGACAGAGATATTGATCAAAGGGGGATAAGGACAGAGATATTGATCAAAGAGTAGAGAGTTTCAGTTAGACAGGAAAAATACATTTTAGTAATCTATTACATAGCATGGTAATTATAGTGAATAATAATATATATTTCAGAATTGCTGAAAGAGTGATTTTAAATGTTATTACTGTGAAGAAATAAATATTTGACATGCTAGGTTGGTTAATCAGCTTGATTTAATCCTTCCACAGAGTATATATCACTTTTTATACCCCATAAATATGTATAGTTATTATTTGCCAACTAAAAATAAAATCAAAAAAATTATTCAGCTCATATCAGCAAAAATTTTTAAATGATTCTGAGCCTAAAATCAAATAAAAACTCAGAACTAAGTCTGGGAAGTAGCTCAGTGATAGAGGGAGTGCTTTATATTTGTCAAGCCCTGGGTTTGACTCTCAACACCACAAACAAAACAAATTCCAGAATCGTGAAGGTTGCACTGAGGAGGCAGGTGAAGTAGAGATACTATCTAATAGATACCTTGCTCTGTTGACCCAGTGTTGTCTGATGTATTTGTAGAGAACATAGCTGGTAAGCCAGCGCTACAAGTCCCCAGTTCTAGAGCTGCTGCCCCAAGGCCTCCAGTATCTACAGCCAGTGGACGTCCGCAAGATGATACAGACAGTGGCCGAGCCTCCCTCCCAGAACTGCCCCGGATGCAGAGACCCTCTTTACCGGACCTTTCTCGGCCCAACACCACCAGCAGTACGGGCATGAAGCACAGCTCCTCCGCGCCTCCCCCACCGCCTCCAGGGCGTCGTGCCAACGCACCCCCTACACCTCTGCCTATGCACAGCAACAAAGCCCCAGCCTACAACCGAGAGAAACCCTTGCCACCGACACCTGGACAAAGGCTCCACCCTGGCCGAGAGGGCCCTCCTGCTCCCCCTCCAGTCAAACCACCTCCTTCCCCTGTGAATATCAGAACAGGACCAAGTGGCCAATCTCTGGCTCCTCCTCCACCGCCTTACCGCCAACCTCCCGGGGTCCCCAATGGACCTTCCAGTCCCACTAATGAATCAGCCCCTGAGCTGCCTCAGAGACACAATTCTTTACATAGGAAGACACCCGGGCCTATCAGAGGCCTAGCACCTCCTCCACCCACCTCAGCATCTCCCTCTTTATTGAGTAATAGGCCTCCTCCTCCAGCTCGAGACCCTCCTAGTAGAGGAGCAGGTAAGTGTTTGGAAACCCCTTTATTTCCTTTCATGATTTTTTCTTTTCATCTTTTTTTCCTCAGAGTGTCCCTTCAGTGATTGAGGAGAAGAATAATTCATACACTTGTATTATTGAGAGCCATTTTTTTGGTACCTGGGATTGAACCCAGGGATGCTTAACCACTGAGCCATATTCCCAGCCTGTTTTTTTTTTTTTTAAATACCTTTATTTTGTTTGTTTATTTATTATTTTTATGTGGTGCTGGGGATCAAACCCAGTACCTCATACATGCTAAGCAAGCGCTATACCACTGAGCTACAACCCCAGCCTCCCAGCCTGATTTTTGTTTTTTGTTTTGTTTTTTGATACAGGGTTATGGAAAGTTGCTTAGGGCCTCACTAAGTTGCTGAGGCCAGCTTTGAACTTGTGTGATCCTCCTGCCTCAGCCTCCTGAGACACTGGAATTACAGGCATGGGGCACTGCACTCAGCTTTGAGAGCGGTTTTATATGGCAGACTCTGTTGTTAGGGAAACATGAGTAAATAGAAAAGATAAAAAATTCTTGTTCTGGATAAAGTAGTAAAACAAATATATAGTACATGGTTTACTTTGGAGAAACACAAAGGAGAGAAGAAATATGAGGGTGGGAATGAGGAAATACTTTGAGATGGAGGAGGAGTAGGTAGAGTCAGGACAAAGCCTTACTGATACAATGATTTTTTTTTTTTAGTTTTTGTTTTTTGGTATTGGGAATTCAACCCAGGGGTGCTTTACCGCTGAGCCACATTTCTAGACTTTTTTGTTTTTCATTTTGAGATAGAGTTTTGCTAAGTGGCTGACACTGATCTCAAACTTGTGATCTTCCTGCCTTAGCTTCCTGAATTGCTGGGATTACAGGCATGTGCCACTGCACTCAGCACTTTTTTTTTTTTTTTTTTTTGGTACTGGGGAATTGAATTCGGGTGCTTAACCACTGAGCCACATCTCTAGCTCTTTTTATTTTTTAAATAGTGACAATTTGGCAAAGACCTGAAATTACGATGGGTAAGCTTAGAAATTCTCTGAAGAGTATAACCATTGCAGGCAATGGGGACAAGTGAAGAGACCTTAAGGCATGACTGTTCTTTTTTTTTTTTTTTTTTTTAAGGAGTATTTTTGACTCATTTTGGGGACAGTAGGGAGGTCATTTTGACAGGATGAGAAGGAGTAAGGGGAAGAGTGGCAGGAGTGGAGGTGAGAAAACTAGATTTCCCTGAGAGAACATTGTAGGACTTTGTGAAGAGTTTGGACTGAACTCTGTGATGGGGAGCTAGCTACTGGGGGGCGGGGGTTAACAGAGAAGTAGTATTTATTTGATTTTCCATTTAATGAGACCACTAGCTTCTGTGTTGAGAACAGACTGTAGGAAGATTGAGGTGGCAAAAAGGAGACCACTCAGGAGGCTGTTGGAATAAACTGGGCAGGTGGGTAAGACAGCAGCAGATTTGGTAGAGGAGTGCTGTTTGGTTTTTGGCATTAAATAAGTTTGAGATGCCTATTAGACGTCCAAGGAGAGAGAGTGAATTGGTGATTGAATGACACTTTAAAGTTTAGGGGAGAGATCTGGGCTAGAGAGGTTAATCTGAATGGCATCAAAAACCACATGCTTGATGATATCACCTAAGGAGGTAGTTATATATAGAAAATGTCTGTGGCTGGGGCCTCCTATGTTAGAGATGAAGCAAACCCAGCAGAGGAAATAAAAATCCTCTAATGAGGAAGGAGGGAGAAAAACCAAGAGAGTGATGGAAAAACCTCAAGGTAAAGTGAGCACCTCTTTTCTGTTGAAGAGTCTGGTAAGTTGGAGGCTGAGAACTGACATTGGTCTTAGTATCAGAGGACCAAAACAAACAAACCAACAAACCAGCAGAGTGGGAACAATTTACCTGAATAGTCTTTGAGGAGATAGGAGGAAATGGGATCTGATCTATAGGTAAGGGGTCTTCCATAGAAACAAGAGAATAAGTAGTGCAGTAGTAGGAGTTTGTGAAGTTTCCTCTAATTTGCTTGTTTTCACAGTGAAGAACATCAGCTATAAGTGATAGGGAAGGAGAGAACAGTTTGAGGATAGAGAGAAAAGGCATGAAATGGTCATTTGGAACGTGGGAGTTGACTGGACTAGCATTCTTGGGTAGCTAAAACGTAAAAGGCCTACTTCAGATTAGGGGCCATATGTTTTAAGTAAGAGTAATCAACATGGTGTGTGTTCAGCTGTGCATTTGCAGGTACAGAATAAGGTGCAGAATTGTATATAACCAGTGTTGGCATTTTTGGGGCATGTGTGATTGTAAGGGAGAGTGGGGTGTGGGTATATAAACCTGTATTCCTATGTTATTGGACTTTGAACCATTCCTCCCAAAAGTGGCTGTTAAGCTCTTTGTGTATATATATTAATCTTTATGTGTATAGAATGTTGATAAAGAAATTGTCATTGGGCATGGTATCATATGCCTGTAGTCTAAGTTACTCGGGAGACTGAGGCAGAAAGATCTCTTGAGCCCAGGAGTTTGAGTCCAGCTTGGGCAGCATAGTAAGATACTGTTTCAACAATAAAAGTCTTGTCTTCAAGAAGTATGCATTATAAGCCCATTAAGCCGGGCATGGTGGTGCACGTCTGTAATCCCAGCAACTTGGAATGTTGAGGCAGGAGGATGGAAAGTAACCAGCCTCAGCAATTTAGTGAGGCCCTGAGCAACTTAGCAAGACCCTATCTCAAAATAAAACATAAAAAGGGCTGGGGATGTGGTTAAGTGCCCTGGGTTCAATCCCTGGTACAAAAAAAAAAAAAGCAAAAGTCCATTAACCTGTGCTGCTGCTTAGTTAGGTACATACAGATTTGTACTTTAGGAGTTGTCAATCTAATAAAGGCCAAACAGTAGTCCGTACGTTTTTGACCCATATTTCCCTAGTTTTTGCCATTAGGATATAGTCCTAAGGTGGCCCCTGATTCTAAGAAGTTCAGGTTTAATTAATTATTATTATTTTGTGTGTGTGAGAGATACTGGGGGTTGAACCCAGGGGCACTCTACCAGTGTGCTGAATCCCTAGCCCTTTTTTTAAAATTTAAGACTGGGTCTTGCAAGTTGTTGAGGCTGGCCTAGAACTTGCAATCCTTCTACTCTAGCCTCCTGAATTCTTGGGCTTACAGGTGTGTGCCACCAAATCTGGCCTTTTTTTTTTTTTTTTTAATTTAATGATTTTTTTAAAAGACACTTTATTTGGAAAAAGCTTGTTATCTTTCAAACCCATCCAGGAGAGAAGCATAGAAAAACACAATTTCTGTATGGTTTGAATAGTCTATAAACGTCTTGCTTCTCACATCTCAGTTCTATGTGCTTTGTTTGGAAAATTTTGAAATTATGATCTTTGTTCTTCTATCTAGTTAGCCATTACCAATGTTGGACTGGGAGAGGCCTCGGCTTATATCTCATCAGTAACCAGAATAGCAGTTCTTTCTTTATCTATTTTATTTTTTTAGTTATAGACAAACACAATACATTTATTTATTTATTTATTTTTACGCGGTGCTGAGGATTAAACCCAGTGCCTCACGTGCACTAGGCAAGTGCTCTGTCACTGAGCTACAAACCCGCCCAAAACAGCAATTCTTTTTTTTTTTTTAATTTTTAGTTGTCAGTGGACCTTTATTTTGCTTTTTATTTATATGTGATGCTGAGAATCAAATCCAGTGCCTCCCACATGTCCAGCAAGCACTCTATCACTAAGCTACAACCCCAGCCAGAGAACAGCAATTCTTAAGAGTTGTACATTGGGAAAAAAAGATATTTTTATCTGAGGTTTTCTGAGTAGTGACACTATTTGTTGTATGGCTTTGGGCAGATCGCTCTGATTTTCTGTTTCTTATCTGTAAGTGATTCAGGTATGGTGGCACAGGCTTGCCTGTAATCCCAGTAACTTGGGAGGCTGAGGCAGGAGGATCACAGTTCCAGGCTAGCTTCAATAGCCTAACAAGACCCTGTCTCAAAATAAAAAGTAAAAAGAGCTGGGGGTGTAGCTAAGTGTCACAGCACCCTGCATTCAATCTCCAGTATTGCAAAAATAAATTAATTAAAATTTAAAAATAAAAACATAATAAACTAAATAAAAGTATGTGTGAAAATGTGAGGTGCTGATGAATTTTACTGGTTTTATGCCAATTACTTCTAAGTAGTTTATGGATTTACCTCTTTCAGATAATATTGTGGCACTATTATGTGACAATGTCCTTTTGTTTCTATATGAATTATTTATATTTGAAGAGCATGGACTCTTTTACCTTCTCAAGAGTGCTCAGCCACCAGAAAACTTGGTTTCATTGATCCATAGAGTTTATTTTCTTAAATTTTCCTTTGAGGAGTAAAATACGGTCCTTTTTTAAGGGAATCAAAAGAGAAAATTGATCCATCATGTTTTCTTCAAAACTCGGATTATTTTGGATTCCAAAAGGCTATCTCCTACCCCAGGGCTTCTTTTGCAAGCTGATTGTTTTTTTAGGGTCTTTGGACTCTTGCTCTGTCATTTGAAATAGTCTTAAAACAGGATCTGACAAAGAGCTCAGAGGCTTATTAGAGAGAGTGGGACATGGTTGGGATGACCCTTTGTGAGAAAGGAGCTGGATAAGCCAGGCCGATCACTCTTGTCTTACTCTGTTTTGGCCAGCTCAGGTTGGCATTCCTCACTGTTACCTGTCTAATGTCTAGCTGGTATCCTTGTGAACCTAGCTAACCCTCTCTGCCTTATAAGTAGATACAGTTTTTCAGGGCCCTAGGAAATCTAGGGTTTAGGGAATAAAAAAGAGCTTTGATTTGGGATAAAAACAAGGCTTAGAGATCTGCTAGGTGTTAAGGAGATTAATCTTTATTATATCCAATGACCCCTGCCCATATCTTAAACAGACCTTGAAAAGAATGAGAGAATTCACATTCTTAGCATATCTTATGAGAAACAAAAACTAACATTTATTGAGTCTGTTGTGCTAGATTGTGTGTGTTCATGTGTGTCATCCCATTACTGTGTTCAGCTATATGATCACCCTACAGGAGTTCTCACAGTATTTCAGGAGGAATGATAATATCCACTTTTATAATTAAAACAGTGTTAAGACACACTTCCAACACCTTAGTTAGGGCCAGGTGTGGTGGTGCATGCCTGTAATCCCAGCAGCTCAGGAGGCTTAGGCAGGAGGATCATGAGTTCAGAGCATCCTCAGCTACTTAGTGAGGACCTAAGCAACTCAGTGAGACTCCCTGTCTGTAAATAAATACAATAAAGGGCTAGGGATGTGGCTCAGTGGTTAAGCGCCCATGGGTTCAATTCCTGGTACAAAAAAATAAAAAAATCTAGGGAGATAAGATCCCTATTGCTTGAGGTAGAACAGTGTGAGGATATTGCAAAGAGAAGATGTAGGTACTGGTGATATAGCTCAGTGGTAGAGTGCTTGCCTAGCAGGCAGAAGGCCCTGGGTTCAATCCCCGGTGTCTCTCTCTGTCTCTCTCTCTCTCTCACACACACACACACACACCGAAAAAGAGCAGATGTGTGCTGAGTCTATTTTTATTAGATCTGTGACCTTAGACAAATAATCTGAGTCCTAGTTGTTTCATTTGTGAAATGGGGATAATAGAAAATACTTTGTAGGAGTGGCTGTAAGAGTTTTGAGTTTTTAAAGATTTAGTACAGGGTCTGAGGCTGTGGCTCAGCGGTAGAGCACTCGCCTAGCATATGCGAGCGAGGCCCTGGGTTCGATCCTCAGCACCACATAAAGTAAAAAATAAAGACATTATGTCCACCTACAACTAAAAAAATAAATAAAAATAAATAAATTATATATATATATTATAAAGACTTAGTACATAGTGAAATGCCTGGAATGTGATGGATACCCAGTCAATGGTAGCTGCTCTTGTTAATGAAAAGCCTATGATAATACAACCTAAACACTGTAGAACCCATTCCAGTGATATTGCCCTTTTCTCAGGCATGCTTTTTAAGTTTTTTTAAAATTAATTAATTTTTTTAGTTGTAGATGGACACAATACCTTTATTTTGTTTATTTATTTTTATGTGGTGCTAAAGATTGAACCCAGTGCCCCACACATAGTAGGCAAGTGCTGTACCACTGAGCTACAACCCCAGCCCATATTTATTTATTTTTATGTGCTGAGGATTGAACCCAGTGTCTCACATGTGATGGGCCAGCGCTCTACCATTGAGCTTCAACTCCAGCCCTTAGGCATATTTTTGATATCAGCTTCTTGGCAAAGTTTTGTCTTGTAAGGATGAATTTTATTTTTGTAAATGGCCAAGAAGCAGAGTCAGAGATAGGTACACATTTTTTTGTTTTGTTTTGTTTTTTTCCTTTTTTTGGTATGAGGATTGAACCTAGGAGCATTCCACCTAAACCCTCTGCCTACCCCTCCCCACCTTTTTATGGGTACTGGGATTGAACTCAGGGGCATTTCCACTGAGCCACATCCCCAGCCCTATTTTGTATTTTATATAGAGATAGAGTCTCATTGAGTTGCTTAGTGCCTTGCTAAGTTGCTGAGGCTGGCTCTGAACTCACAGTCCTTCTGTCTCAGCCTCCCGAGCCACTGGGATTATAGGCATGCACCACTGCACCTAGCTCCCCTGCCTTTTTTTTTTTAAGCTTTCATAGTGACACTTTTATTTCTGTGGAATTGACCCTAGAAATGTAGTGACTGATTACAATATGTGTATCCCCAATCTTTTTTATTTTTATTTTGAGACAGGGTCTTGCTAAGTTGCCCAGGCTGGCCTTGAATTTGGGGAGCCTCCTGCCTCTTTTTTTTTTTTTTTTTTTTTTTAAGTGTTTATTTATTTTTAAAGAGAGAGTGAGAGAGAGAGAGAGAATTTTAATATTTATTTTTTAGTTTTCGGCGGACACAACATCTTTGTTTGTATGTGGTGCTGAGGATCGAACCCGGGCCGCACGCATGCCAGGCGAGCGCGCTACCGCTTGAGCCACATCCCCAGCCCCTCTCCAACTCTTTTGAGTTGCTTGAGATTAAGGATATGCACCACTATATCCAGCCAAATGTTTTTGTTGTTGATGGCGATGTGACAACCTCAGAAGTGCAATGTGACTTCCCATAATAATATCAATGGCTCTCATAAACTGGCTTTGGAGGCACTTCCAAAAGAGGTGCTCCCAAGTTTTTTGAGCAATGAGAAAAACACTGTATATATGTAACTTCCCAAGGTGAATCTACTATATATATTCTGAAAAACACTCAATTTAGTCTGTACTGTAAAGTTTTGGAATATATGCTGTAAGATACCAAAAAAGGAGAAGCTCAAAATAGAGTAGATTGCTTTGAAGAAAGCCTTGAGAAGATAGGACTTGAATTGAACCCTGAAAGATAGATAGGATTTGGGGGCTGAGGTTATAGCTCAATGGTAGAGTGCTTACCTAACACGTGTGAGGCACTGAGTTCGATCCTCAGCACCACATAAAAATAAATAAAGGTATTGTGTCCAACAACAACTAAAACAAATTAAAAAAAAAAAAAAAAGATAGGACTTGGTATTAAGGAAAGAGGGATTTCAGAGTATTGCAGGGAGAGCCACAAGAACAAAACAGGGATTCAGTTTATTCATTAGACATGGAATACTTCCCATGTGCTGTACATTTGCACAGAAGAAGGAACTATTCAGACATTAGGGAGTACATAGTATACTAGGGAAGAAGCCCATATAATGAATAGTTATAATGCAGTATAGTAGAGTGGTATGGATATACTGTGTAGTGCAGAAGAGGGGCACCTGACCCAGTGTAGAAATTAAGAAAGAAGAGCTAGACATGGTGGTGCTCTCCTATAATACTGGAGACTTGGGAAGCTGAGGCAGGAGGATTGCAAGTTCAAGGCCAGCCTCAGCAGTTTAGCAAGACTCTCAGCAACTTTGTGAGACCCTGATTCAAAATAAAAAATAAAGGGCTGGGGATGTGGCTCAGTAGTAAAGCTCTGCTGGTTTCTTTTCTAAAGAAAAGAGGAAGAAGGAAAAGAGGGAGGAAGGGAGGAAAAGAAGAGATCCGGCTTACTGATGTAGTTTACTATTTAAGCAAAGGGCTTGAAACTTTCTTTTGTACAAGATGCAAAAGCCTTGAAAAGATTGAAGCAAGTATTTTAGGAAGTTAAATTTGAGCCGTAAGAGATTGGATGCAAGGAGAATACTTGGAAGGCTTTTGCAGAACAGGCTAAATGTGAGATGATCTGAATTAGAATTGTGGAGGAAGGGATGGAAAAGCTAGGGGAAAGACATCAAGAATAGATAGGATTCTTGACTCATTTGTGGAAACTAAAAAAGGTCTGAAACTTTGATACCTGGAAAAGTGACAGTGCTATTCAAGAAATAAGCATGAGGGGGAAGGTGAATATGATATTTAACATGCTACTGAGAGGCTCATAGCACCCAGTTATTCAGGAAAGCACTAAGACACTTTTTGCCGTGTCTCTCAAATCCTCCTTCCCCTTGCCAGCTCAACACCCAAACCTAACTACTTTGAATTTTAATTGCAGCTCCTCCACCTCCGCCCCCCATGATCAGAAATGGTGCCAGGGATGCTCCTCCACCCCCACCCCCATACCGAATGCATGGGTCAGAACCCCTGAACAGAGGAAAGCCCCCACCTCCACCCTCAAGGACGCCAGCTGGGCCACCCCCTCCTCCACCACCCCTGAGAAATGGCCACAGAGATTCTATCACAACTGTTCGATCTTTCTTGGGTAAGTAGTTGTTTTGCCTCAGAGTTCCTGTGGTTACTTCACTGACTGCAGTGTCTTGGCTGCCAGATGGCTAGTGTGGAATGGGAATGGCCACAAGATAATCTTTGTTTACAGCAGTTCCTTTCTGACATTTACTCTCAATCATTTTTTTTTAATGTCTAAATCTTTAAAAAATTTTTTTTTTATTCTACTTGTTATACATGACAGTAGAATGCATTTTGACACATCATACATAAATGGAGTATAACTTCTCATGCATCTAGTTGTACATGATATAGAGTTACAGGGTCTGTAATCATATATGCACATAGGGTAATAATGTCCAATTCATTCTACTATCATTCCTACCTTCACCCTCTCCCCTCCCTTCTTAGCATCCACATATCAGAGAAAACATTCGGCCTTTGGTACTTTGGGGTTGGCTTATTTTGCTTAGCATAATATTCACCAGTTCCATCCATTTACTGGCAAATGCCATAGTTTTATTCTTCTTTAAGGCTGAGTAATATTCCATTGTGTATATATACCACAGTTTCTTTATCCATTCATATGTTGAAGTGCACTTTGTTGGTTCCATAGTTTAGCTATTGTGAATTGATCTGCTGTAAACACTGATAGAGCTGTGTCACCATAGAATGTTGATTTTAAGTCCTTTGCGTATAAACCTAGGATTGAGATGACTGGGTCAAATGGTGGTTCCATTCCAAGTTTTCTGGGGAATCTCCTCTATATTGCTTTCCATAATGGTTATACCAACTTGCAGTCTCACCAGCAATATATGAGTGTATCTTTTCTCCTACATCCTTGCCAACATTAATTGTGCTTGTATTCTTTTTTTTTAATTGTTTTTTCTTAATTGTTGATAGATCTTTATTTTATTTATTTATATGTGGTGCTGAAAATTGAACCCAGTGCCTCACACATGCCAGGCAAATGTGCTACTGCTGAGTCACAATCCCAGCCCTTGATGCTTATATTCTTGATGATTGCCATTCTGACTGGAATAAAATGGAAGTGTAGGAGCTGGGGTTGTGGCTCAGTGGCAGAGTGCTCAACTAACATGCATGAGGCACTGGGTTCGATTCTCAACACCACATACAAATAAGTTTAAAAAATAAAAAAAGGTCCATCAACAACTAAAAAAAATTAAAAAAAAAAAGATGGAAGTGTAGTTTTGATTTTCATTTCTCTAATTTCTAGAGATGTTGAACATTTTTTCATATATTTGTTGATCGATTGTATTTCTTCTTCTTTGAAGTGTCTGTTCAGTTTCTTTACCCATTTATTGATTGGATTATTTGGGGGTTTTTTTTTGGTGTTGAGTTTTTTGAGTTCTTTATGTATCCTGGAGGTTAATACTATATGGAGGTGCGTGTGGTAAAGAATTTTTCCCATTCTATAGGGTCTGTCTTCACATTATTGGTTGTTTCCTTTGCTGTGAAGCAGTTTTTTAGTTTTATTCCATCCTGTTTATTGATTCTTGATTTTACTTCTTGCATTTTTGGAGTCTTGTTAAGGAAGTCAGTTCCTAAACTGACATGGTGGAGATTGGGACCTACTTTTTCTTCTATTAGGCACATACCCTCAGACTTTCATGCCCCATCCATTGACATACCTTTTCTTATGTGAATTCTAGGCATGGTTGCTTTGGAATAGGTTGAAATATAATCAGGTGTCATGCTAACTCTAAAGCTCCTCTCAAGTCCCCCCAAGGATCATTACTTATGGTTAGTTTTCATGGCAGAGGCTGTTCCTCTTTAAGATCATTCAGACAAGAATTATATATCCTAGGAAGAGCTCCTTTTAGCTGTGTAAAAACTAAACAAGTGGGACTTGGGGTATATCTCGGCAGTGGTGCTTCCTTAGCACGTGCAGGGTCCTGGGTTCAATCCCCAGTACCCCAAAACTAAATAAAACAAGCTTAGTATGCCAAGACTCTGTTTTGATCCCCAGTATTGAAACAAACAACAAACAAACAAAAAAAATCACACAACTCTTATCTGATCAGCAGAGATCACTGACTGACTAGCTGTGTCATTTTGAGGAAGTCACTTCATTTCTCTAGGCCTCATTTCTATTATTTGTATAGCAAGGAGATTGATTAGATCAGGAAATCACCAGATTAACTTTACCAAGTTTATAAGTATTGGGACCCCTTACCTAAAAGATTCTGGTTGTGGAATGGAGTCATAGAAAATGTGGTCCAGAGAATATTATTTATCCTCTGTGGAGGACCCCTGGAATAGAGCTTATGTAAGCTCTGTTGTAGCCCTAGCACTCTGGATTCCTTAGTGGTTGTTTTCTTCCCTCCTGCCCACATCCCCCATGTTTCGGTCTGTTCCTATTAAATGCACCAGGTGTTTGCTTTGAACACACATCCATAATGAAAAAATCTTTGTAATGTGATTAAACTGCACCTATAGGAAATTTGAGCCTTCTTGTGGAGGGCCATAGAAAGTCGTAGTGGGACCAAGGAGGTGGCTCTCTCAAGTATGTTGCAGAACTAAATGAGGGTAACCTAGGCTGAAAGGGAACTATGTGGTCAAATCTCTCAGAAGCTGCAGAAAAATATTACCATTTGAGGTTAATTCTGTAATTTGTAGATTCAATTCAGGTAGTTTCCCATGGTGACAATCTATAAAATGACCATGTTATTGAATCTTGGAATTCTTGTTTCTTTCTGCTTCCATGCAAACAGTTGGAAGCAGTTTCCTGTTCTTGCCTGATTTTTTTTTTTTTTTTAAGAGAGAGGGAGAGAGAGAATTTTTTTTTTTTTAAATATTTATCTTTTAGTTTTCGGCGGACACAACATCTTTGTTTGTATGTGGTGCTGAGGATCGAACCCGGGCTGCACGCATGTCAGGCGAGCACGCTACCGCTTGAGCCACATCCCCAGCCCTCTTGCCTGATTTTTGATGGGAAATTTTGAAGAATCAGCTCAAAGACTTGCTCCTTAAAATAATCAAGTTTGTGCATGGGAGCCACCTCGGGTGCTGCTTTTGCTGTCTTTAAGAACCTTGGTTAGATGGGCAAGGCAGGCCCTCCATATGTCAGAGTGCATTTAAAGATTAGTAAGGGGGGCTTATAAGTCAGAGGTCTGTGGAGCAAGAGAAGTTCAATATGAGGTAATACTCTGTTCTTTTCGCAGATGATTTTGAATCAAAGTATTCTTTTCACCCAGTAGAAGATTTTCCTGCTCCAGAAGAATATAAACATTTTCAGAGAATATATCCCAGCAAAACAAACCGAGGTAAGAGAAGTAGTAAAGAAAGTTTTTCCATAATTGCATAGAATATAGAATTTTTCTGTTTTTCTTAAGTCAAAAATCTGCTTCTCCTCATCTTCATTTTCTTTAAAAGAAACAAAGCAAAACAAGAAGACAATCTAGTCCCCAGATTTTAAAAATTAGCTTAAAAAGTCTTTTTATTTTATTTTTTCAGCTGCCCGTGGAGCCCCACCTCTGCCACCCATTCTCAGGTGAAGTCTGGCTTGGTCCTGTTCCTCAGGAAAAAGGATGGACCTCCTTTTTTTGTCAGAATGTCCTCTCCATTCCCCTGAAACCTGCATGAGAGCTCCTAACATGTTTCTCCTGTGCAAACAATCCTAGACTCCAAGCATCCTTCCAGCTCACCTCCATCTATGCATCTCATCTCTGGACTTGGTGATTGGACTCTTTGCGTCGGCAGTAGGGTCTCAAACTCTGTATCCATCCCTACTCTAACACACCCTGCTGGCCAGAAGAGGAGAAAGCCTCCATGTCTCCTGCTCTCCTCTGGGGAAAGGTGCCTTGTTGTGGTGAATGAACTCATTGTTGGGCAGGGTGGAGATTGGTACCCTTATCTGCCCTTATCCACTGTGGGGGGAGCTTGGCAGGTAGATTATATTCCATCATTTAGGAGGCTGGCACGGCCAGAACTTTGGTGGGAGGGGAGGGGGCATTTTTAGTGAAGCAGTAAAGGAGTTTGCAGAGAATTGATCTGTTTTAAAGGTCAGCTTTGGAGAAAGGACAAGGAAATGGGTCTTCTTTATTTTTTAGGGGTATTTCAGTTTTGTTCTCACTGCCCACCACCCAATCCCAGGGGTAAGTTGGATATAAACACTAAATACTAATTAGTTGAACTAAAACTTTAATCAAATGAGAGGGCGAGGGGCTGGGGATGTGGCTCAAGCGGTAGCACGCTTGCCTGGCATGCGTGCAGCCCGGGTTCGATCCTCAGCACCATATGCAAACAAAGATGTTGTGTCCACCGAAAACTAAAAAAAGAATAAATATTAAAAAAAAAAAAAAAAAAAAATGAGAGGGCGAAGTAAACCGAGGATCATTTTAGAGCTATTCAGTTCTTCTGTAACTAAGGGACTAGGAGCCATTTGAGTCCTCTAGGACTTCCTGCCCCCTTTCCTCAGGGTGCTAGGCTGAAGGGTTCTGCCCCATCTCCTCAAAAGAAAAATTCCTTTTTGTCAGGGGCATCATTCATTCCTGATTCACAAATCCCAAAAACTGCTGGTAGGAAATAGGAAGACAGGGTCTAGGCCTTAACTTCAAGTCTGCCTCAGTCTTGTCTTACTAACCCTAGCCCTTTGAGTCCTTCATGCTCCAGAATGACTTAAGAAGGGAAGGGCAAAACACTCTGCAAAAGACTTTATGGCCTGCTCACGCTGAAGTTCACAGCCCATCTGACTGAGAAAGCTCTTTCCATTCCTTTCTTTACCAGCTCACCTTCCCAAGATTTCAGGGGCTAATGCAGCAGAGTTAAAGGGGTGAGGAAGTGAGTAGAAGTTTGTGGAGATACTCAAAATTCCTTTATTCCAAGAAGCACAAAAGACTTTGGTGTGAAGTGTGCTTCAGTCTGATAGGTCTTCCTTGGTAGCCAGCAATATGTTGTTTCTTTGTCTTCCAGGTCTTAATTAAAAGAGCATAGAGAAAATGGAGGGACCAACTGAGGTTGGATGATGGGACAGTGACTTTCCCTTCTCCAACAACAGGTTGGGGCTCCTGGGCTTCACACACCAGATGGATTGGTTTGCTACAGTTGTTGCCATATATAGAGGCTACTCAAAACTTGGCATGAGAGCGGGGAGACCAGGCTGTTTTTGAAATGAAGGGGGAAAACTATTTAAAAACCTCTTCTGAAACATCACAGGCTTGAAATGCTGCAGGGACCTTTCTAATCCATTAGATCATAAACTAAGGATCTGAGCATGATGTCAGGTGAAACCCAAATCTTCTCAATGGTAGGTGAAGGAGGGCTTAACTTGGGTTATCTGTTTGGAGTCTCTCTGTCCTTTGCCATCCCTTAGACCACATTAACTCTGGATATAGACTCTCATGATTAGGTCTGTCACCAGACTTTTTCAATTATTATTTATCATGCTTCTTTTTAAATCTGTTAGCAGTTACCTCCCAGACATTTCCCCAGCATCCTGAAGTGACTAGAGCTGAGAGAGAGGAGAGTACAAGAGTTGTTACTGCAGCAGAGTTCCAGGGTGACAAGTTACTGAACTTTGACTGTGAAGTCTTCCCATTTATTTTTGAAATGGGAGTTGATGCCTTTTGTACAGTGTTTATCAAAGTGTGTTTTTCTTTTTCCTTTATTCAAACATACATAGAGCATCAAAATAAGAATCACAAATAAAACCAAACCACAGCTTTTCATTGGGGCTGATATCTTCCTCCCCATGACCTGCTACCACTCATATTCCTCAGCATTTGGACTGTGTCACATGGATATTGATTGTACTTTAACTGTCTTGGCCTCATGAAAAACAAAAAGGCCTGGGTCTGGATCTAATCAAATGGCTTTTCTCCTTTGGGACATGTTAATGACACAGCACCTATTTAAATATCTTTGCCTTATACATTATTTCTTCCCACTGTTAATAACAGATTTATTATCATGTATATTTGCTATTGAAGATGGGAATGTGATCCTCATAATTATTGGTCTATTTTGTATGTTGTACAGAGCTTGTAATATAGGTTTAAGGTGGGCTAGCTGCAAGAGCACTAAAACTTCTCACCTTTAAAACTGTTCTTTTTATCTGCTCATGGGGATGTCAAAGATCAGGTGGTCTCATGTTGAGGCTATAGCCCAGTCCCCATTAACTCCCTTCTCCATTCCTGGAGGGAAGAGACATTGCCCAACTAAGCATCTGAGAAGCTGTGTTAACAGTGATTGTGTGGGCTTGGTTTTATGATGTTTTTCCTTAGTGGGAAAAACGTAATAGTTGTTTCTTACTGTCCTTTCTAGGAAGCAGGGCAGTGACCTCCAGGTTTTTAAATGAGCTAGATGCCTGTCTTCCCCCTCTCTGGTCACCAAACCTGGACCAAGGCATGTTGATATTCCAGGTATGGTTTTCTTCATCAATGGGATTTGATCCAGCTGCATAGCCCCACCATTTTCACAGCCTACGCCAGCAGAGTAAGAGCCTAGGACTATACCAGCTGATAGACATGAGGCTGCTGTCTCCAGGAATTTGTCCCAGCCCTCTTAACTGGCAAAGGCAAGGAGACTGGCCATTGCACTGGGGGACTCCCCTCACCCCTTTGGCTTCTCAGCTTGAAACCCAGATTTACCTCCAGGAAGAGGTGAGAAAAAAATGTAAATAGACTTGCTACAGAGCAACTCAGGGTTGGGGTGTGTTTTAATTCTCCTGATCACTTGAAATAATCTGTAGGCTGAGTGCTTATGGGAGTGAGGGAGAAGTGTTACTCCAGGGTCCTTCCTTTCTGTGAAGCTCTGGGGGTGGAGTATAGGGGATCAGAGGCTCTTTGATGGCACTACACTGAGCTGTCCTGGAAACCCAACCTACAATCAACTGCAAAATCATATTCTTCACATTCCAGTTGTAGTCTTTCTCTCCCTGTTGAATATTAGTCCCTAGTTATGTAGTCATGGTGGCTTTCTGTTAAGCCACCCTAATTTAGGGAATGGGAGGGAAAGGGGGGGGTGAGCATTATAGCTCTGCCTTCAAGACTTATATCTTAAAAACAAAATTAAACAAAACTATAACCACCTTCAAAATCACATGCAAAAAAATGAAAAAGGGATAATTGACTGAAGGAAGGGTTTGGTTCCATTCAACTCCACGTTCATTGTGCCTTTACTTGTGTTAGATTTCTGTGCTTTCTTCCTTTCCCTCTGAAGTAATTAAAATCTTCCTTGATAACTGCTGTTTCCTACTTTCTACTCTTGTTTGTGACAACTTGGTGGGTTCCTTCTCTAATTATCTTAAATCTCATTCCACTGATGGCAGAGAGTGCCTAGCCTTCTTTTCTCATGTCTAACCTTTGTCGTTTTCCACAGTGACCAACATGGAAGTCACAGTTAACACTGAATAAAAGACTAGAATGATGTGTGTGTGCATGCGTGTGTGTATGTGACCATCCCATCTACATGTGGATCCACTTCTTTAAAAAATAATTTATTGTATGATTTATTTTGGAGATATATTCTGATTATAGTGCTCCCTCTCCCAAATAGCACTGATTCTTTTTTTTCCCCTTACCCCCTAAAATGTATAATCTGGTCTCAGGTTCAATTCTTTGGTACATTTCTTTCTTCTGAATGCTGTGCAGTTTAATTAAACCTTGCTTAAAAGCAAAAACTGAAAACTGTGTACTCTTGTCTGGAATACCATCACAAGTGGTGACATAGAGAGGGGGAAAAAAACCTATTGCCTCATATTATGGGTAAGTGTGATGGTTTGATTCCATGTCACTTGAGAAAGTAGATGTACTGACTTAAGCAGAAGCAGCATCTGTGGTTTCCTGAGAGTTTTCTCTCCTCTTCCACATGTTTTGAAATTGCAGTTCTAGTTAGTTGTGCTGACTAGGAGAACCTGACAGTCATTATATATATATATATATATACATTTGCTACTGAACCACTCTTTGCCCATGATTTCAGGGAACCCAGGAGGCCCCCTGACCTTATGTCCTTTCCTTGTATCCCTTATGATTTTTTCTACTTGTGTTGTATGTCTGATTCTCAAATTGACAGTGGAAGAAAAGATGGGGGCAGAGCATTTAGGTTCATGTGTACATTCTTATTTGGGTGTTGGTTGTTTTCCTCACTGCTTTTTAAGCTGAAATCTTAGCTGGGTGTGGGTTTTTTTTGTTGTTGTTGTTTGTTTGTTTGTTTGTTTTGTTTTGTTTTTTAACTTTGATTTTAGGTGTAAAAAAATTCAACCAGACATTTTTGCTTACTGTGGTCAGCTGAAATAACCTCTAAGGTTTAATGAGCTTAACTTGAACTTTCATTACTAGCAAAGGTCTTGAAATCATTTCCTATACTGAATCATAATGGGTGTGTGTATGAATCACTCTCACATAATTTAGGTATAAAAACCTATGAGGAGGGTGAGGGGAGGGAGGGAAAAAAAAGACTCATTTCATTTTCATCCATACCTACCAGATTGGCTGAATTCCTGATTATTTGACCCTTCATTGTTATTAATATGATTAATAAACTACCTATTTATTGATTTAATTGTTCTTCCTGACTGCAAATGGAGCTTGCCTAAGTGACTCTCAACTTCTTAACCATATAAGCTTTCTTTGCCTCACTGGGTGGTATTGCTTGTATGCAGATGCTGGACAGGTCCTTCCAGTGCACTTTGTTTCCTCCTCCATGATACTGTGTATGAGTGAAGTGATAAGCACACCAGTTTGTTCACTCTAATTACTACCAAGGCAAAGCTGCTTGCCTTGAATGTGCCTCTTAAGTATTTCCTGACCCAGTCTAGCCATGAACTAGCTCACTGGAAGGAAGTTGCCTATCTCTGATTCCTACTTTGCAGACAGAGGTAAGAGAACTGAAATATTAACCTCAGGACCCTGAAGAGTCCCAGAAGATAACTTGGAGAAGGGCATCACCTTTGACATCACTGAAGCCCAATCTGGATTGCTTTTACACATAATTGAATTTCTTTTTCACTCCTAGATTTAGGGATGTGAGATTGATTTACTGGTACTAAGGATTGAACCCAGGAGCATTTTACCACTGAGCTACTTCTCCAGCCCTTTTATTTTTATTTATTTATTTGTTTTTTTTAAATTTTGAAATAGGGTCTGCTGAGTTGCTTAGGGTCTCACAAAGTTGCTGAGACTGACCTTGAACTTGGGATCCTCCTGTCTCAACCTCCATAGTTCCTGGGATTAGAGATGTATGCCACTGTGCCCAGCTGGGGTGTGATATTTAGAGGACTACAAATATGCCTTTCAACCACACACACACACAATTTTCACACAAAGAGTGGATATCTACTTGGTAAGAATGTCCTTTTCATTTCTTCATTTGGCAAACATTTATTGTGTACTTCACTGTACCAGACAACCACAATGATGATGAATAAAGCATGGTCTTTGCCTCCAAGGATCCTACAGTCTAGTAAAAGACTTAAAGGCAGCTGAGAAACTTCTAAAGTGTATTAAAAGTCTTCAGCACAGAAGGATGGTGAGTTGCATTCCAGACAGTAGGAACAGCAAGAGAGAGAAGCGATTGACACTGACGGTTGTGTGCATAATGTTAGTGGAGGTTCATTACTAGTGAAAAGAGAGAACTTCAAGTAGATAATCTTTTAGAAACTTTTCAGTCCTGACATTCTGTGACACTTTTGTCTGCTTCCACCGGGGACAAGTCACTTTTCTTTGGCCAAAGCTGTTATTTTCTGGTGGTTTCGTCAGCTCCAATATGCACTTTACGTACTTAAGTTCTGCTCTCTCCTACTGTGAATGTAGTTGTTTACCCAAATCTCTCAAGGCTGGCAATTATTAATGGCAAGTTTTAGATGCCCAGGTTTTAAAAATATGAATAGTGAAGGTGCATCCTGGGTTCTGTTATTCTGTTAGGTCAGAAATACCATCTGATCAGAAAGCATTCTAGTTGCTCTTTTTCCATTCATGGAAGCCTGTGTTTTGTAGTTTTTAGCTGCTAGAAAGCTCCTTCACCATCGCTTCCTATTTAGAACCTGCATCTGTTTAACCTTACTCCTATGACTAAGTGGTCAAAAATTTGATTTCCTGTCAGTACAAATTCTGGCTCTTCTACTTGGTAGTTGTGTGACATTGGACAGGCTTATGCAATCCCCTCTATATCTTGGTTTCCCCATTTATAGAATGGAAATACCAATTCTGTGGATGCTTGTGAAGATTAATAAGCTGATAGTTGGTAAAATACCAAGTTCAGTCCCTAGCATATACTTAAGCTTTCTGTATTGACTCATCTATATGAACTAAGTTAACAATTAACTAACAATCATATTGTTGTGTTCCTATTTCTCAGCTTTATAAAAAGGCTCTATTTGATATTGCAGGCTAAAAGATAAATGTTTATCATCACTTAGAATTGGGTTCTGGCCTTTAAAGGAACCTGAGGCTTAGATGGGTTATTTATTAGCTTTGTAAGCTGACCTTCAAATTACTGCTCTAGTTTATATTCATTAAATGCTCAACTTGCCTCCTCTATAACTGTCTTTCCTCGCCCTGAAACCCCAGGGTTTGGCCACAGAAGATTTTAATATTAAGAGGACATAATTCCATTCCCCACATGTGTGGATTAATGATAAGAAGGTGCACAGGGTATAATATTCTTATCCTGAACAGAAGTAAAGCGCTGGGATAACTACTTCTCACTTGTGAAGCACAAAAGATACTGTGTTGAAGCCACGTATAAAACTTTACCAAAAAATACCAGTTTAGGTGCCAGGACATCAGAGTCAAAGGCTCTTCATTGCCACTAAGATGGTGTGGCCTCTAATCCTGTGCACACTCCTTTACTTCATGCCTTGCAGAACTGAATTAGAGGTGACTAAAATGCTAGCATCATTCCTGGCATACAGAACCGCCCCCAAAATGGTAGGTATTATGTAGTGTTACCCTGAAAATCTAACACATTGGGATAATGAAAATGGATACGTCTGGCAGTGATAAGGACAAGGACATATTAATACCTGTAGTCCAAAGAAGAACGCGGAAATAGAGTCTCATGGGGCAAAGACTACATTCCCCGCCGGGCTTTGCGGCTTGGCGGGTTAACTAGAACCGCATCCGCCGCCACCGCGCGCCTTTCCGTGGAAGCCCCGGATGCACATGCCCTCTCCGGCAATGGGTGTGGTCTCGCGTTGGCTCTGAGACCTGGGGCCGTCTTATTGGCTGTAGGCTTTCCAGCTGGATTGGACACGAAGGAAGGGGTGGTGGCCAAGGCTCGTGGCGCGGCGGTGTCAGCCAATGGGAAGCGTGGCTGGGCTTTAGCGCGAAGCGGGAATGCTGCGACTGTGTGGATTTGGCGCGAGCTGACTTTTCTACTGCTGGTGTGTAGTTTGTGTGGAGCTTGTGGTAGAGAGTCCCTGAGGCCGTGTGAGACGTGAGAAGGAACCTGCACTGAGGTCACGTATCCCTGAGGGGTGGAAAGGAGAGGATTTCCCGGTGATGCCTGGGGTCTGGGAGCCAGCGGGTTGGAAGAGGGCTGCGGGCTCCCACGAGGCCCCAGGTAAAGTTGAGGAGATCTGAGATCGCAGCAAGTCTGAGGTCGGCGTCCCTAGGAAGAGGGATGTGGGCCCTCGGAATGGTGGAAAGGTTCTGGCAGTGCTGCGTGATGTAAGGAACTGAAAACTGTAGAAAGGAAATGTTCCAGAATTGAGGACTGTGTGGAGTTAGGACTACCGAGTCCAAGAGCGGACTGAAGACCGAGCTGTGCTGTCAGGGCACAGGACTGTCAGGGTGGCGGTTATGGGCTCAGATGAAGATGCCCCGCATGCCTGGAGTAAGGAGATTAGAAGTACTGTAAATGAAAATAAACTTATTGGGTCGCTCTAGCGAATAAGAAAGTGGGCTGGTGCCAGAATGCTTGGGATTAGTTAATCCCTGTTTTCCTGTGATTTGGGGCCTCTGTGCATCTCAGTTGTCCCATTTGTTAGATGGGGATAATAATTGTACCTACCTCTTAGGTAGTTGTAAAACTTAAATGAGTTAATATGAGAAAATGCTTATAACAACCTTTTACACATACTAGGTAGGCAACACTGTTAGCTGTTATTGCATAGATTTGAGTGTGAAGCAGAATGCTAAAATATTATAACATAATTTACTTATGAAATGAATGTTGATCATAGGTATAAAGAAATTCCATGTTAGTTATTTTCTATTCTCTTTAACACATTTACAGGCTGCTCTGTTCTTTTTTGAATCCTGCTGTGTTGCCATCATGCCTCAAACCAGATCCCAGGCACAGGCTACAATCAATTTTCCCAAAAAGAAGCTATCTCGGGCTTTGAACAAAACCAAAAACTCTAGTGACACTAAACTACAACCAACAAATGTCCAGGCTATACCCTCTTCTGGTGTAAAGAGTCTGCCTCTCAGCCCTAGAAAACGTCTAGGTAAGCTTTCCTTTGTATGAGTACAGCTTTTTGACCAGTAGCTCTCAACCTTTCTTTTCTCGGTGATAAGATGCCTGTCCTTCAAAAGACTTTCCTAAGTTCAGTTCAGTCTGCTCTATAAATTTTATTTATTTTCAGAATAAAATAAAGATTTGGTGCAAGCAAAATGGTTACTAAGTGCTTACTGAACTTCAGAGTTAAGCCACTTATTGAGATCACTTTCTGAACTACTTAATAGATCTGGTCTTCAGTTACCTAATACTGAACTTAGTTCTGTCATTGTTTTCAATTTTGTTGCAGTTATATGGTATTATGAAATTTGCCTTCATATTGTGAAATCAAGAGAAACAAATGGGTCATGTTCTTAATATTTTCAGACCTTTTCTTATTTTAGAACATTGATTGGCACCCAGGACCTCTCACATACTTGGCAAGTGCACCATAAGCCCCAGAGCATTTGTTTTTAATGGGGTGTGATTAGGTTATCAGAGCTTGGTGCAATTGGCATAATAAGTAAAAGCCAGGGGTGCTGCGAAGCATCCCATAATACACATGACGTTCTCTCCACAACAAATGAGTCTTTGGTCCAAGATGTCAATGATGCCAAGGTTGAGAAATCCTGTTTTTTAGAACAGTTTTAGAATTTTACTGCATTAGAACTCATTTGATTTCTATGAAATAATACGATTCGGCGACGCCATCTTGTGGCCAGTATTAGCTTCTAGGTGAGAAGGATGTTTATTTTGTGGTTTCTCCTCTCTTTTCACTATCTACTGCTGTGAGTGACCATGTTTTGATTTTAATGTTTCAGGTGATGACAACCTATGCAACACTCCCCATTTATCTCCCTGTTCTCCACCAAAGCAAGGCAAGAAAGAGAATAGCCCCCCTCGTTCACATACACCTAAGGGACGGAGATTGGTATTTGACAATCAGCTGACAGTTAAGTCTCCTAGCAAAAGAGAACAAGCCAGAATTCATCAAAATAAAATACTTCCCTCAGTTCAAAAAGATCAGGAGATCATAACAAATTCTGAACAGAAATGTCCAATGGAGAAAGACTCTGCACGTTTGAGATTATTCAAGCAAGAAGGTGCGTTCTTACA